TTATGATGTTGAAGAATCAGTTTATAAATTAAAAGCGAAAGTAAATAAGAAATAAAGCAGCAGAAACAGAAATATTTTTTACAACTTCAAACTTTTCCATAAGGCTGTCTTTGTGGTTAAGTTAGAACATGGCTCCCCCTTGTGGCCAAAAGTCAACTAGCTAATCATAAGAACAGAACGAAACTTCTCTAGAAAGGAGGAAACAGGAAAACAAGAAAAGACTGTCCCCTTCAGGATGATGTTATTGTTACATTTCTTTCTACTTTCTCTCTTTTTAACATATTTTGCTATAGGGCACGTGAACTCACCGGAGAGAGAGAGAGAGAGAGAGATAGACCACGCCCTGAGGAGGGGTGACCACACCACAGTCCCTTCTCCTCCATTCTGCTCTTAGGATTTTGGTCACAAATCCACATGTACCTGGCGTGATTTTCAAGCTGCTGGGCTCAGGACTCGAACTGCTCAGCTAGCCATGTGGGATCTAGCTGCCTTAACCTCCATGTCATCTACTGGCCCAATTGTTACATTTCTTATGTCACAAATTGCTGGTCCACAAACACTCGAAACACCCTCCCCCCACCTTTGTTTACTGGCATAGTTAATTCTGACTGTTGACCCTAATTCTAAAAGACTTCTATTTGATCTATCTTGTAGGAAAATCCCTTTTCTAAAACTGGAAGAACTCTCTTACTTAATTTCTACATTTTCTCTATATTTGCTCTTAGTTTTTAACAACATGTACAAGGTAAAATATTCTTCATACATATTTTAATCTAATTTTATCAAACAACAGCAGCTGTAATTAGATATTGAATAGAGGTAATAACATCTTTTTTAAAAAATAATTATTTAACTATTTATTTATTTATTTTGTAACTTGACCAGAGAGGGACAGTGTGTGTGTGTGTGTGTGTGTGTGTGTGTGTGTGTGAGAGAGAGAGAGAGAGAGAAAGTCGCTAGGTCTGGGACTTGAGCTATTGTCGGCCATGTGGCAGGCTAGCACCCTTAACCACCACGCCACCTGCTGGCCCTGAGGTAGTAAGATCTTTGGAGAGTGAGTGGGGATTTAGAAAGACGAGGCCAGTCACGAGTGCAGGTGGTAGTGTGTTGCAATGCTGGAGCTATGTGGCCAGTAGGGGCTCAGATCCCAGCTTGACCTGTAACACACTGGGCACGCTCACCTCACATCCTGACTAGCTAGAAGCTGGGGGAGGGTACTGCAATGTGATAACACCTATCAGAGGTGCCAGCCTCTCATTCTTTCTTGTTCTCTCTTTCATAAAAGATATATTTTTTTGTTTTTGTTTTTGTTTTGTTTTTAATAAAAAAGAAAGAATGATAGGGCCAGCCCAATAGCTCAGTGATTAGGGGGACCAGGATTCCATATTGCTGACCATGGTTTGAATTCCAGTCCCAGTGGATTATAAAATGCTCCACACACGGACACATGTGCCCTAATCCTGACTGGAAGGAAAAATGAGGGAAAAGGATTGTGGCATGTCCTTTCACCATTGTCTTTGTCTCTCTGGAAAACATACATACTCTTGGGGGGAAAAAAAAACAGAAAAGGGAAAGGAAATGAAATAGGAAATTAGATGATCAAAGATGAGTTCTATAAAACAAATATTTTCAAATCAGCTGCCTCAACAATATTGCTCCCAAATGTTCATGTACTATTGAAAGTAATAACATAGCCATGATTTTTATTTTATGACTACAGCGGATGGGTGTAGTCTCTGAACGCTAAAGAAAGCATAAAGGCTACCATGTTTTGAAGATGAAAATGAATAACTGTACCAAGAAAATACAAATCTTCGTGTAGCCTTAATACCTAGGAAAATACTGAGGCAAATAACTCATCAGCCAATTTGTATGTACCCCAGTAAATCAGAGATTAAAACAAAACACAATACCAACATAGCTTTGTAAAGAAGGTTAACCTAATTCCACACTGGAATTCAGATGAACTAATGCATTGAAGCAGTTCTTCTGAATAGCCGTAGTAACAGCTGTTAGATGGTTATCTTCTCCAGCGTTTATTGGGGGCTTATCATGAGTCAGTCCTTGTGCTAGACGTTCTACATACATGATCTCATGAAATACCATTGTATAATTCATATTTCATAGATGAAAAAAAGTAAGGCTTGCAGCATTTATGTAATGAGCCTAAGATCACATCAGGAAGCCAGATTTCAGAGTCAGCGCTCACTCCACAGAGTCTCTTAACCGCTCTGTTTGTAGGAAGCCAGGACTGAAGTCCCCAGGCTCATGTGTGTCAGTCCTCTGCATTGTGAGTTGTACCTGGTTTGACCTCAGGGAGCTCGGGCCAAACTGGACTCAGTTCCCTCTGTAGTAGCTGAGTAAAGGGCAGTCCTCATGACGCAATCCTCGAGTTGCTCAACAGAGACATTGTTCATGAAATTCACTGGGGTCAACCAAACAACCAGAAGCCTAAAAGCCGAAGAGTGTGGTGCTCTGGCTAGAAAGGGAAAGGCTAAGGGTTGAAACTCAGGGTGATTTTTTGGGTGAGAATTTACACTTCCTGATAAATTCACTTTCTGTGACATGTCTCGTTGGATAATTATACCCTTCAGCATCTATAATAGAATCAATTACTATTCTGGGTTAGTTCAGTCAACACTCTTCGCGAAGGAATAGAGATGTTGGTTCTCATCTGGGCCAATCCTGGGAAATTCATCCTTTTCTTAGTTTAGCCATAAATTATGCCACAGTTTTTTTTTTTTTTCTGGAGAGGTTTTGAAGGTTCATAAGAAGTAGGGGGAATAGATGTGATGAGTTTTAGGAAGTTCATTCTGGGGGACCAGCAGATGGCATAATGGTTACATTGTTGGACTCCCACATCGTCGACTGTGATTCAAGTCTTAGACCTGGCAGCTTAAAACTCACACTGAGGGACCAGCAGATGGTGTAATGGTTACATCACTGGACTCCCACATAGTTGA